CGTCTGCCTTCAGCTCAGGTCATGATCTCAGGGTCCTGGGATTGAGCCCAAGTCTGGTACTCTGCTCAGTAGGGAGTCTGCTTCTTCTCACTCTCCTCTATGCTCTCCCTCTCTTTCTCAAATAAATAAATAAATAGAATCTTTAAAGGAAATAAAAAGAAATTGCATTCTTTGCTATCATTTAAATTTACAGTGAAAAGAAAGTTTGATGTTGACTTATAAGTGAAAGAAGGTACTTAGTTTTAAAAATTATTTTAAAGGGACACTGGGTGGTTCAGTGCTTGAAGGTCTGCCTTTGGCCCAGGACATGATCCCGGAGTCCTGGGATCGAGTCCCACATCAGGCTCCCTGCATGGAGCCTGCTTCTCCATCTGCCTATGTCTCTACCTCCCTCTGTCTCTCATGAATAAATAAAATTAAAAAAAATCTTTTAAAAAAATAAAATAAAAATTATTTTTAAAGGCTACACAAGAAAGTTTAAAGTCTACTGCCAGCAGCTTTTTTTGTGAGCAGGTATCAGCTCACAAAAGAATGTCATCATTAATTCTGGCATTTTTTTTTAAACTGAGAGTTATTCCATTGACTTCAATTTTCCTTGAAATATGTCAAAAAAAAATCATTTCAGTTGGTGTTGACTAGAAATCATTAGGATAGAAAGATTGGGGAACATTAAGGTTTTGATTGCTTTTCTTGGTTTATTTAAGTACTAGAAGATAATATTCTTGAGTAAAATATTTGCTTTAGAAGAGGCCAGGCATGAGCAAAACTCAGAGAGATGAAGAGAAAGGGGAATATGAGAAATAAAAATAAAAACAAATGAAAGCTATTGCATCATCACTGATGTTGGAGACAGTGGCCCACAGTGGAGTGTCTTCTTTTAAAGAGCAGACCGTTCCCACTTAGGGAACATTTGAGGCCAGGATTTAAACCTCTGGTTGGAAGGAAATAGGTGTGTTTTCCTCTCATATTCACATTCAAGGGATCTCTTGGCAGACAGAGAGCTAGGTGTGCTGTGTGCTTTTTGCATACGCAATAAAAGCCGTGGGATTTGGCTTCACCTTTGCAAAGTATGGAACACGGACTCTTTGGCAAATCAAATCATTGAAAATTCTGCCTTCCGAGTTGCCAAGAATTTTCTGGTAAGAGTTTAAGATCTCCGTGAATCTTTCAAACCTGGAACTAGTATGCCAGGAAGTTTAGGAAGCACTCAACAGGGCAAGGTGAGGGCTAAAGTGACAGCCTCAGTGGCTCATATGGAGGGGGCAGGGGGGTAAGTGTGGCAGGTTATCTGTGGGAAGCCTAAGGCATCTCCATGGATTACCCCAACTAATGCAAGTCCATGTCCTCCATGGCACACAGAGACACCGCAACATATTTGTCCTTCATGGTCTTTTCATGATGCTTTGTGCAGCCATAAACCCTGTCTGCAGATTTCATCTGGATTAGGCAAGTCCTGATGGGCAGCCCTGTTACTTAATATCATGTGAGATACAAGTGTCAATACTTGTGGGCAAAGTGTGTCCCAGCAAGTCTAAACTTTCCTGTATCCTTGCAGCACAGAGAAGGCCTTAAAGATGTACAGACTTTGACATTAAAGGAGGTGGGATTGCTGAGGTAGTTGTGGAACGCAGGGGCAAAGGGTGGAAGAATGGAGGTCAAGGAGGATTGTTTCAGGGCCTGCCTAACAGTAGTGGTGGCACTCACTTGAGAGGAGTTCACTAGGTCTCTAATACTCTATGAATTCCTCATGAGCAAACAGCACAAGCATCGCCCCCCCCCCCCGCCCCCCCCCCCCCCCCCCCCGCCGTGGGTCTATCTTCAGGGCAGGGGAGAACAAGGACACCCGGAGCGAGCCACCTCTTCTTCTCTGTGGCATGTGGCATTAGATGACTTCCTCTGGGAGAGAAATGAGGCCATCCCATAAGAAAAAACATCAGTGATTTTCAGAAAACTTCTACTTGTCACTCTGAATATCAACATATTAAATCCCCCTGTGATAGTTTACATCTCTGTGCTCTTTACTTGTGAACTGAAACAGAGTTACTCCATTTTTTTCCTACTTTGAACGTTCCTAGCTCCTTTCTAGGGAACGGCTTTTGGCCTGTCAGATTTTGGCATCATCTTACTCCTAAGTCGGCCATGGAGAGAGACTCTTATTCTTTCAGTAAGTTTTATCTTGCTGCAAGGATCCTTTTTCAGAACTTCATTTCACTTTCTCGATTTGAAAATCTGTGAGTTTAGGGTGCTGATATCATTGTTAAAATAATATTCTCCTCGTTTTTGGCTTGACAGATTCTTATTGGGAGGTTGGATCATCCTTGTCAAAACCCTTGTCAACTGCTACAACACCCAGTTTGTCAATATTAGATAAACCAAAGAATCGATTCTTGAATTCTTTCTATCAGATCAAGAAAGAAGTAGAAGCTTTCTGCAATGATACATTATTTTTTGGAAATATCAGGTGCAAGGCTTTCCTAACAAAGTCTCATTAGAGATGGAGGGGAGTCTCTCAATGTTCAGTCCATTGCTCACTGATTAGTTCAATGAACCTGGCTCAGGTGCATGCCTAGGACAGGCTTTCAGCGTAGACTGTGGGTCCTTCTAGGCCAGCCTTTGACAATTCAGACTGAGTGCTCGTAACTAATGCTTTGTGAAACAGTCTCATTTTCTTGTTGGCGAGACCCACCATTTTCTGTAACGGCAGGATCAGTTCATTCTCATCTGACGCCATCATGAGTGTGATGGCCGCAGTGATGATTTACCAAAATCCCACCAAATAATTCCAAGAGGTGGTCATGGTGCAAGGTGAGGAAGGGAAGAAGAGGGTTTCAGAGGTGATGAAGTAGGGATGGAGGTAGATTAAGAAAACTTGTGATGGGGATCCCTGGGTGGCGCAGCGGTTTGACGCCTGCCTTTGGCCCAGGGCGCAATCCTGGAGACCCGGGATCGAATCCCACGTCGGGCTCCCGGTGCATGGAGCCTGCTTCTCCCTCTGCCTGTGTCTCTGCCCCTATCTCTCTCTCTCTCTCTCTCTGTGACTATCATAAATAAATAAAAATTAAAAAAAAAAAGAAAGAAAACCTGTGATGAAGGGAAGAAGAGGGTTTCAGAGGTGATGAAGTAGGGATGGAGGTAGATCAAAAAAACCTCTAAAGCTCATTTAGAAAAGAAAGAGTGACCCTTCCTCCACCTTCTTCCTCCTCATGGCTGCTAGAGCAAAAGGTGATGAGAAATCCTCCACAGCACTGTGACAAATACGGGCAGAAAGGGGAATAGGGGTCTGTGGCATAGATTATTTAACTTCAAAAACATTGGATTTACATAATTTTATCTTGTATTTGTCCAGGGGCAGGTCATTACAAAGGCTTCGCCAGAATTAATGCGACTGTCATTCTACCCAAAGCCACATCCCCAAGTCTCACAAAATTCAAGACAAGGTCACCTGAGCACTGCAGTGGTCTCATTAAGAGCCAAGTGATCTTACCAAGGAAATAATCTGCAAGAACCCAATACGGTTTTGGAAGGGGTAGGAAGTAGAGGGGACGGATACAGAATTTTAACTTTGAATTCCCTATTAATTAGAGCAATAATAAACATGTTCCTTTTGTTCCAATTATCTTCTATGCCCTAATGGTAACCCTATATGGATTCACTTGGAAGAGATCATCGAGGAAAAAAACAAGACAAAACTGTTTCTCCAGCCCTCTTCTAGAATTCAATTTATTTTTTCTTACTTTAAAGTAAGAACATTTACTATGAGCAGATGTTTTCTGTCCGGAGCCCAATCTCCTCTTGGGAGGCGAGTTGTTAAATTAGAGACACAGCTGACGGCTTGATTCCCACATAGGCAGCCCTGGTGGTGGGCGGCATGGGGACCCCTCCCCGACTTCTTGCATCCTCCCCGCTGCCTGCCCTAGGGTAGGCCCCCAGCTGGTCTGTATGTAACTGCTGGCTTTCCATCGCATGCTGACTTTGCCAGCAGTGAGCCAGTTCTGGGGCAGCCCCCACGTCCTTCTTTCTTCAGATCAAATGCTCATGCTCCACATTTACTTATTCACTAACAAATATTTATTGAGCTACCACCAAGAGAGCACCGTGATTAAAAAGCATAAGTTTCTCGGACTGACTGCCAGGGCTCAGTGCCACCCCTACTGCTTCTGAGCTCTGTGACCTTGGCAAATTATTAATGCTTTGAGCCTGAGTTTTATCTCCTCTAAAGAGGGATAGTAACAGTTCCTGTCTTATGAGATTTGGGGAGGATCGTTTGAGGTAAGATTCATAAAGTAGTCTGCCCTTTGCAAGAACTCGTAGCTATTTGATTGAGACAAGCCAGGTTTGATAGGCTGTGGGCAGAAGAGTGAGTTCTAGTCCCATCTGGCAGGCCCTGTAATGCTCCCTGTCACTCTCAGATAATAAAAAGTGCTCTGATTGGTTTTTGGGCCAAAAGAGTCTCCTTTCAGAAATTCAAACATGAAGTCACGTATCATAATCAAATTTGGAAGCTCTGTGTATGTCAGAGCCTCTGCCCGCTTGGCTGGCCTCTGGTCCGGAAGACCTTCTCCTGCCTTCCTGGCTCCATTTCCCACCCACTCGTTAGCTGTGATGCTGGACTTCTCCAAGTGAGGGGCCCCTCGAGCAGGTGGAGTCCTGGTGGGGCGCAGGCTTTGGGCTTGGCAGAAGCTTCTGGGTTGCTCCCCAGCAGGTGGCCCAGCCGCCGCCCCTCCCGCTGGCATTTTTCAGGCCTGGGTCACATACCAGTGCTTTTTTTTTTTTTGTTTCTGCCCCTACTTCCAGGATTACTGTCAGGCTCTGTCAGTGTTTCTCCTGAATCCTTTCTCCCTGGGCTGGAGACGGAGGAGGAAGCATATGAGGAAGGACACAGCCCGGCTCTCCAACCACAACCAGGCGGGGCTAGGGCAGGGGTCAGAGGGCTGGCCCTTGAATTCAATGGATTTTTGATCATTTTGCTGCCCCCCCACCCCATCTTCCCTTTCTTCTAGTGCCCTGGCTGCTACTGAGCGAGATTTTTCCTGGTGGAATTAGAGGACGAGCCATGGCTTTAACTTCTAGCATGAATTGGGGCATCAATCTCCTCATCTCTCTGACATTTCTGACTGTGACCGGTAAGGACTCGATGTTTTCCTCTAACACCCTTGTGCTCCTAAGACACATGTTAGGGAAGCACACTCACCTAAAAGACGTCTTACTCTGGACGTGTTCAAAACATTCAGAAGTAAAAAGAATGTACCTGATGTGCTGACCACCCAATTTAAAGTTATCATTCTTGTGCTTGCTTCAGCAGCACATAAAATAATCATTCTTTTTTTTTTTTTTTCAAAACTGGTTTTAAATACTCTTCAGGGTGGCAGGAAAGGGGACTGGGGTGAGAGCTTGTTACATGTGAATTTGGGGTTGGGGTGCCCCACCCCCTGCCCTGGGACAAGGGAGCAGAGTAGAGGCCCTCTCTGGAGGGTCCCAGGGCCAACTGGGAGCCCGCCCTCCCTAATGTTATCATTCTTAATTCATTTATAACCCCACCTGTTCTGTCTCCCAATTATTTTGAATCACATTTCAAACATGATGACATTTTGTCTATAAAATTTCCATGTGGACCTCTAAAAGATAAGACATTTAAAAACTATACCTGTGATATCATTATCAAGCCTAAATATATTAGTAGTAAACCCCTGGTATCAAATATCCAGTCTGTGTTCCCATTCTTCCAATTGTCTGATAATTATTTTTGTAGATTTTGCTTGAATCACCATCCCAAGACATAACTTACAGTTGATTGGCATGTCTCTTATAATGTTTAGGTTTCATCTCCATTTCTCCCTCTTCCTCCACAGCTTTATATATATATATAAAATATATATATATTAAAGATTTTATTTATTTATTCATGAAAGACAGAGAGAGAGAGGTGGAGACACAGGCAGAGGGAGAAGCAGGCTCCATTCAGGGAGCCCGATGTTGGACTCCATCCCAGGTCACCAGGATCAGGCCCTGGGCAGAAGGTGGCGCTAAACCGCTGAGCCCCCCCGGGGTTCGCCACAGCTTTGTATTTTTAACGAAGAAACTGGATTATCTGTTTCAGAGTTCGGTCCTTTGTGTTTCCAGTGAATTGCTGTTTAGATCTAGAGGCTTGAGCAGATTTAGATTTTCTCATTTGTTTGTAAACTCCTTTACAGATGATGGTGAGTCCTGCCACAGAGGCACATCATCTGTCTGTCTCCACTTGGTAATGGAGGCTTTTTCTGAAGATCATCACCCAGATCTGTTATTTTCATTCCATTGTTCCTTCTAAATTTTGATCAAAGCTACTTTTCTAAAGAGATGTTTCTTCTCCTTAGTGATTTGCCTGCCCTCATGTGTGAATCATAAAAAAGGCAAGAGAAAAGCTTAAAACATTTTTATTTTCCAGTTTTCCAAATAATGAGATAGTTCCCCAGTATCCTCCAAAATTGACCAATAGCTGTTTCCTTTCTTTCCTTTTTCCTTCATATATGTATATGATATAAATAATACATATATTAATTTGGAAAAGTGGATATATACTCAAAAAGGCATATATCTATATATAGCACTTCTGAATCTTGTCAACCACTTTTTTTTTTTTTTTTTTAGTATATCTACTTTTGGAAATTAACTTTTGGAGTTATTAAGCATGGCTTTACATAAAATTTTCAAATGTTTATGTCCCATTTTTAGAAATAGCTCAAGATTAAAGGAAATGAAAAAACTGCTCATCAGCACCAACCACACCTATTCTACTCAGATCATATGCAAGTCCTGTGCCTTTCACCTTTACAGAGACACATAGACACACACACACACACACACACACACACACACACACACACACACACGCTCTCTCTCTCATGTTTTTCCACATGGAGAAAGAGAAATATAAAAGAAAAAAATGAAGTGATCCCAGCATAATGTATGAACTTGATGAATCACTATGTTGTACACCTGAAACCAATGTAACATTGTGTGTCAACTGTGCTTATTTTTTTTAATTAAAAAATAGAACAAAGAATGGAAATGAGCAGGGTTGGAAAAAGAGGACACAAATCTCTGGGAAGGATAGCTAATGTAGAGGATGAACTAATGCACATCCAGAGGATCTCCTGCATTTAAAACAAATGTTGGGAAAGCATATTCACTTAAAAATCCTGGAATGAACCTGTAGATGACATTGCATTGGACTAAGCTTGAAATTCTTTTTTTTTTTTTTAAGATTTTATTTATTTATTCCTGAGACACACACACAGAGAGAGAGAGAGAGAGAGAGAGGCAGAGACACAGGCAGAGGGAGAAGCAGGCTCCATGCAGAGAGCCCGACGTGGGACTCGATCCTGGGTCTCCAGGATCACGCCCTGGGCAGAAGACAGCGCTAAACCGCTGAGCCCCCCAGGCTGCCCTAAGCTTGAAATTCGATACAGGTTTCTCCCACTATTTGAAAGTAGAGCGCCTCTAGGAAATCTTTCATAAGCCAAGATGGCTTGAAGCAGAGAAGTACCTACCAGTTCCTAAGAGCGAAAATCCTCTTTGGATTTCTCTCCTTTAGCAAAACCGGGTACTAACGTAGATCTTTCAGAAAAGCAAAGTGGCATAATGCAAACTTGTCCAAGAGCAGGGAAACCTGTAGTTACTTTCAAAAATCAGTTTTCCAAGTAAAAGAGGTACGTAAGGGTTCTGCTTGGCAGCAAGCCCTTGGACACCAGCCCTTTTAGTGTGACTTCAGCAATGTCCATAAAAGCAGAGTGTTCTGGGGAAACCAATTCACTGGGCAGTGGCCATGATACAGTTGGATTGAGCTCAGCTCTGAGTAAAGTGTTTTAAGAGGACTGCTTAAAAATTGTAAGAGGGTTGCCATGTGTCCGTCCTGGGAGGGCACCTGGAAGCTATGCAACCTGTGGTCTGTGCAGAACGGTTGCAAAAGTTGCAAGAGTTCAGGGTGTTTGGGGCAAGGAGATGCCCAGGAGAGCGGTAGGGGTGCAGGCAGGGATGTGCGCAGCTGTTGTGCTGGTATGAAGGGATGGAGAATGGACCCAGGGAGCGAGGCACAACCTCGGAGTGGAGGCTCCTGAAAGGGACACTTAGACTTCAGGATGGGTGAGGAAGGCCTCTGTAAGGGGTAAGGGCCGCCCACCACGCACTGAGAGTCTCTGAAAGGGGTGAGCTCCCCGTTACTGCAAGTACTCAAACAGGACAAGTTCCATGAAATGACCCTTCATTGTAGGGTTTTTTGTTTTTTTTTGTTTTTTGTTTTTATCCTCCACTTTCTATATTCTGGGTTTCTGTCCCACAGAGGAAAGGAGGACCGTTGCACCAAGCACGTTATTAGGCACTCACCTGGGCAAAAGACTGCCAGCCCCAAGAGGAGCACAGAGGGACGGGGCTTGAGTGATCACCGCGCTGTAGCGCTGCCCGCCCTCGGCGGCGCTGGGCCCTGGGCCGGGACCCCTCCGGCGCCCTGCGGAAAGGAAATGCCGCCGCCATAAAGTGATTTATTTGAATCAGGGTGAGGAAGAGTGAGCTCATTTCAAGAAAAGTGCGTCTGTGTACCTGTCTTTAAAAACGCCCACCAGGGGATCCCTGGGTGGCGCAGCGGTTTGGCGCCTGCCTTTGGCCCAGGGCCCGATCCTGGAGACCCGGGATCGAATCCCACGTCGGGCTCCCGGTGCATGGAGCCTGCTTCTCCCTCTGCCTATGTCTCTGCCTCTCTCTCTCTCTCTCTCTGTGACTATCATAAGTAAATAAAAATTAAAAAAAAAAAAAAACATTTAAAAAATAAAAAATAAAAAAAAAATAAAAACGCCCACCAGCTAGGAAGCAAGCTGCTCCAGCCACGACTCCGAGAGGGGAATGGGAGGAAGAGGAGCCAGAGGAGATAGTTTACCTTCTGCTTTCTAGGTTTCTCTGTCATTTGAGGTCTTTTTTTTTTTTTTTTCCCATGAGCATGATCTTGCCATTTTGAAAAAGAAAAGCAGCCTCACCAAGAAGATGGCATTGGGTTTAAATTGTGATAGTCACAAGGCTTGAACAGAGAAAGCTGGAGGAGTTTGTAAAAGGGAGACTTACAGAGGTTGGCCATATTTTTGATTTGTGGTTGCTGTTTCCAGGATACGACCACCAGGTTTGAAAATCACAGGTTTTGGGGCAGCCTGGGTGGCTCAGCGGTTTAGCGCCTGCCTTTGGCCCAGGGCATGATCCTGGAGCCACGAGATCGAGTCCCACGTCCGGATCCCTGCATGGAGCCTGCTTCTCCCTCTGCCTGTGTCTCTGCCTCTTTCTCTCTGGATCTCTCATGAATAAATAAATAACATATTAAAAAAAAAAAAGAAAGAAAGAAAATCACAGGTTTTTATACATGCCCTAAGAAGCAGCTGCCCACAGATGGGGTCAAAGCAACACAAAGCACATTTTTAATCGGTCTCTTTTGTCCTTTGTAGATCTCATTGGCTTGCCGTGGGTGTGCTTTATATATACAATCATGAGCTTAGCATCCCTGGTTTTTGTTGTTGTGTTTATACCTGAGACAAAGGGATGCTCTTTGGAACAAATATCAGTGGAGCTGGCAAAAGCGTAAGTATTATGTGCGTGCTTTCTGAACGACGCTCTGGTCAAAAAATGCAGCTTTTATATACAACTGAATAATAATCCGAGATCTGAAATTATTTCAAGATATTACCTTTCTTGAGAAACTATCTCAAAACACAAATCCAGTTTTTATGCCCCGTGTTGAATCTGGGTGACTAAGCTAAGGAATTAGAAAAACCGGTGCTTTCTAACAGGTGAACCTCTCAAAGCTCTTTTCAGTAATGTTCAAAGAACCCCTCTCGTCTCTCTAGGTTCCCCATGCAGGAGGGTTTGTTTGTTTGTTTGTTTGTTTGTTTGGGGTTGCAGGTAAGTCTTGGAATGTCTTGCACACCTTGTGCCAGAGCCATGAGCTTCTACCTCTATCACACGTGTAGGTTGTCTGTAAACCCTAAACACCAGCTAAGGCTGTGATTATCAGGAATACCCTTGGGTTTAAGTCACTGCAATTATTCCAAATATGGCATAATCAAAATGAGCTAAGGAAAAGTTTCTCCTATGGGTAGCATCTGGAAACTGGTTCAATACATTTTACACAGAGAGATTGTTTAAACAGCTTAACTTAGATGTGGGCTCTAGAAAACTCTTTCCTCTTGGTAACAGAACTCAGAGAGCTCTAACTGCTGAACTGCGGGGAAGGAGGCGGTACACAGAGGCCCAGAATGAAGGGAAACTTGTTCCTCTTCCTAGGATTAAATCATTATGCTTGAACATGTAGGGGTAGTCGCTCTAACATTTTAATACAATGGGAGAGTACTACTTATTCATAGTTTATGAATTTCTTCTAAAAATACCTTCAGTTCACTGGAGACAAATGTATGATTGCTACAGGAACTGTGGGCACAGCGATTCTTCAGCGTTTATCTGAGGGAAGAATAAACCTGAGAGGTGATTCGATGGTAGCTATACATGTGCATATTTATTTATAGTGGGATTTGGAAAACTTTCACTTTGTATATTTTACACACTTTTGGGTGGTTTGCAGTTTTAAAATATTTCACGTTAACAAGCCCCAAGACTTTTCTCTTAATTCAAGCTGTAAGTTAAATATCAAATTGTAGGGTTAATTTTTAATTATAGATAAATCCCTGTTTCTTAAAAATACAATGAAAATGAAAATTATTTATTTACAAGGAAATATAATTGTCAGGAAGGGTGGCCATCCCCTTGGCCTGATCCGCACATTGCTTGGCTCTATGCAAGCTGAAGCCAACTGACGAGATTTCTTGGAGAGCACAGAATCTGAACGAGACTATTAATTACAGATACAGGATTCAAATAACCAACAGCCTCAGGCCTTGGTGACTCTATGCATTCATCTGGAAGCTTGATTCAGCTTCAAGGCCTTTTACGGGACACAGATGCCAGGACACGGAAGACCTCCAAATCCAGTGGTCATTCTTCCTCTCTCATTCTGCCCTGTCACCTGTTTCACACTGGTTGTCTGTTTAGGTGTGACGCACCATCCCCAAACGTCATGGCTTAAAATACACTACTGCCCCCATTCCCCAGGATTCTTTGGTGACCGCGCCTGTTACCTCTGGGTGTGCTCATGCGCCTACGTGGGTGGGAGAGACAGTTGGACTGGGCAGTATGAGAGCCTCACCTGCGTGGATGAGACGGGTGCTGCTCAGTGGGGAGCTTCTCTTGTCCATGTGCTGCCTTGGCCTCCAGCAGGCTCATGTGGCTTCCTCATGTGGCAGACTCAGGGCAGCCTTCCAAGGCATGGAAGCAGGAGCTATTAGGCTCTGTAAAGTGTATGTTCTAGAAGTCACACTGCAGTACCCCCTTTACTTTCTCACATCCTACAAGTACATTCTACAGCCCAGAATCAAGGGGTATACAAACTGACTTAATCTCTTGATGAGATGAAGGACACAGAATTTTTTTTTTTAAATCACATTTAATCCACCACGCCTACTCTATCTTGAAATCCTCTTTTAGCTCCTATGAAACAATTTTCTTCCCTAGAATCCCTCCTAGTTCACTGGCACTTATCTCTTTATCTCTGCTTCTATTCCTACATAGAGTTATCATTGAAGATTTAACCTGACATCCTTATGCCTTAAAAGATGATGCAAATCCTCATCTTTGAAGCCCTGCATAAGCTTAGTCCTGGAGAACATTCCTTTCTCCTGGATTTTTAACATTTTCCAGTCCCATTTTCTTCTATACTGCTTAGCTAAAACCCTAGTGGTTTCACCTCCTTAACTAAATCATAAGGTTTTGGTTTCCAGGAATGGCCTCTGCTTATTATCCTTCGTATGGAACCTCTATACCGTGCCTAGCATAATACTGATTCCCAGCAGGTGATTTAAAAGTATCCACTGTTTCATTTGATAACTTGTGAGCAAGGCCAATGCCGAACTCATTGTGTGTGGGGATTAGATTGCGGGTAACGGTATAAAGCACAAGTTTTGATCCATGGGTCACAGGATGTAATTTAATTTATGGTCTAATATATCCTATGCAACGGGAGGAGGAACAGGTGTGTGGTCCATAGGAGAGACATACTGGCTATACCACACTACTCCCTTCCTCCACTTCAGAAATTATTTATTCAACTCTTGTCTGACTGCCTCCTGGGCACTGGACACTGTACTAAGAAAGAACTGAGGATACAGGAGACCAAGAATGCATAGCTTCTTTACTTTGAGAGATAGGTAAGAAAACAGACCATTGCAAATATTTACCATTGTTGGCAAACACAAAGGAAAATCTCATGTATTGGAGGATTTCATTTATAAGATCTTCCTGAAAGAGGTAATACCATAGCAGAATCCTGAAGGAGTTATCTGGGCAGAGAGGAGTATGTGGGAGTCAGAGAAGACGCACACGTAGAGGACAGTATACTCACTGGTGTGATATGAAGAGGGCAGATTCCAGGTTGGGGATTGAGAGATGAGTCCAGAGTAGAGGGCAGAGAGGGAAGGGTCTCATCCATCTTGGTAAACAGTTTGGATTTTTTTTTTTTTTAACAGTTTGGATTTTATGCTGAGGGCAGCGGGGCATGTTTAAAACAATAGAGCAGGGGAGAAAAGTTACCCGATTTTCAAAGGAAGACTTCAGCAAAATATAGAGAGGGGAAGAGGGTGCTGCTGAATGAGGGAGACCCATGGGAGTGTATTGAAGAAATCATATAGAAGACGATGGGGCTAGGGGGATCCCTGGGTGGCTCAGCGGTTTAACGCCTGCCTTCCGCTCAGGGCGTGATCCTGGAGGCCCGGTGTCAAGTCCCGCATCAGGCTCCCTGCATGGAGCCTGCTTCTCCCTCTGCCTGTGTCTCTGCCTTTCTCTGTGTGTCTCTCATGAATGAATAAATAAAATCTTTTTTTTTAAAAAAAAGGAGACTATGGGGGCTGGATGGCATGCAGGGATGGGGTGAAGCTACATGGAGCTGGACTGGAAAAGATGATTGAGGGGAAAAGGAGACAATTGGGATCTTTCTCGGGTCCACCTTGTGCATTGTATGCACTTTTAAACTATCTGTTTATTAGTTGGGGGAGTGAAATGCCTTTAAAAATAAAGGTTTGTTAAAATTCTTGTGAACAACACTAACTACAACGTGGAGGCAGGGAGAAAGCAATTATGAATGAGCTGAACAAAACTAAGGACCTACTCTGTCATTGCTCTTGATTGAATTCTTTTTTAAAAAGCCTAACTTGGAAGTGGAATGGATAGTCTGGATGAGTTAAGGTTAAGAATCCTTTAGATCTGTTTTTCACGTGGGGCTGTCGGAATGTATCAGGTTGCAAACCAAACAAAAACTTGAGGACAAAACTCAAGAAAAGCCCATCTTTATATCTAGTAGACACCTAGAATAAGGCATTCCCTAGCAACCTATGATTTGGCTATCTAAAACGCAGCAAAATTTATTCAGAATCGGGGTGGGGAAGGCATCTGTCTAAATTAGTAAAACTCTGAGTTATGAAATGTTTTTGAAAGAATCCCATTTCGTTTACTGTTGAGTCATGCACTCGTTGGAGTCATAAATCCAAACCTCAAGTTATAAACTGCAAAGTAAGGGAATCACAAAAGCCAAAGTACTGGCAACCCTAGACAGACCACATGAGTGCTGGGTTTTGAAGAACAGGAGTAGATAGGGGGTCCAATACAGAGAAAAGATAGGGGGGCAACATAATCCTGCAGGTGCAACTCCCAGCAGCAGTGAAGGCACCTGCCAGGCGTGCTGCGAGGGCAGAGAGGAAACCTTGGCTCCTATTCCTCTAGTGCTGCAGGCTCTGGGGTTGTCTCGGCTTGAAGCAGCCGGTTGGCAGAGGCTTTTAAAGTGAAGATGTGAGCAGCCTGAACGGTGTCAACTGGCCATAGTATGTGTAGAATGTGTATGTTAAAACAAGGTTCCCCGGAGGGAAATGTCAGGGACAAAAATACACAAGAAGCCCAACGACGTAGCGGTATCGAGAAGTTGTCCAAGCAGCCGAGTCGGTGCCGGCGCGGAGCGGAGGTGAGCTCGCTGGCAGCGTTCAGGGAAGTCCTCTCAAATTTAGAAGTCAATGAAGAGAGTGAACCCAGTTTTGTCACCAGGGAAAGAGGGTCCTGGCGAGTATATCCTGACAGCTGTCTGAGGAGGGAGAAAGGGAACGATTTCTAGTGTGAAAAATCCACTTCGAAGTTGGTACTGTATGCTGCTGGGCATTTTCCTTTCTTTCTCACGTTTGGCGACGGGTTCTTGTACTTCCAAGTCTGCAAGGCTGAGAAGACAAATATCCTTCCAGGGTTGTTAAGTTTCTTATAAAATAAACAGTGACTCAGCTGAGAGGTCAGAAAAGATTTCAGCAATAATGTAATTTGAAAGGAGTTTATCTCGAGCTTCTGCCCTGCCAGCTACAAACTCAAAATGGGATGTTTGCCATATTTGCTATTTCAGCTGTGACTTGTATGCTTCTCCGTTTAAGTGGAAACAGAGAGAAAATGAACAAGTTACTGTTTTGGAAATATTTTAGTTCTGAGACTTAGTTTAGCTTTCACTTCTATGGCTTATTGTATGTGGGCATTCATTCCTTCTTTCACCCAAACTCACTTGTTCCATGAATATTTCCTGAACATCTACTATGTGCCAGGCACTCACTGTTCAAGGTCTGACATTACTCAGAGAGCAAAAATGCCTCGAGAATTAAGACACCCGATGATAAGACAGGCAGTGATTTGGGGGCTACTTTTGTGTGGGTGATCTAAGAATGTGATTCTGAGAGGTGACGCTTAAGGTAAAATCCGGATGATAATAAGGAGCCAGCAAAGATAGGGAAAGGAGAATTGGGATGGAGAGAACAGCTAGTGCAAAGGCTAGTCCGAAACACACTTGACCTGTTCTTGTTCCAGGAACAGCAAGGAATCTGTGAGATTTAGTTAGGAAGTCAGTGGAGACTAGCGTGCAGAGCCCTGCAGGCCTAGAAAGTTTGGATTTCATTCTTTCTTTTTTAAGATTTTATTTATCTATTTGAGAGAGAGAGAGAGAGAGAGAGATCAAGAGACAGCAGGAGAAGGGGGAGGGCAGAGGGAGAGGGGAGAGCGGCAGACACTTGCCACACTAAGCCACCCAGGTGCCCCTTGGATTTCATTCTAAGTGCAATGGGAAGCAACTAAAACATCTTAGGAGGGAGTGGTGCGAGCTGATTCACATTTTGAGGTGTGCCGAGTGAGCCTCTGCAGCCACACAGTGAACGTGGCTGAGAAAGCACATAAGCACAGCGTTGGGTTTTTGTCATTTTAAATCAGGATTCTTGGGGGTGCCTGCTAACTGCCTGTCTCCCAGACAACTGCTCCATACCACTTTCTCTCTCTGGAAACCTACCCCCTTCCTTTGCCCTGCTCACTCCCACTGCTGGCCTTGTATCTGGCTTCGTGGAGGGAATGGACACATTTCCATAACCTTACACACCAAGCCACACACACTAGTGTTTGTATCTAACTACACCATCATCCCTCTGGGTTCTCTCTCTTAGCTCCATCATTCCTATGTTACGTTCTCATCAATTCTCCAACAGTTTTCTCTGCTCACCCCTGTGTCACGCACATTTTACCTAACTGGATCTCAACTTCTCCCCAGCATGGAAACCTTGTATGATTTTTTCCCCCATCTGAAAAAAAGATGGTCTTAATTCCATTTTCCTCTTTGACTTATGCTGTTTCTCTGCTACCATTTATAGCAAAGTTCTAGAATGAATATACATGGGCATCAGTTCCTCTTTTCCCGTTCTCTCATGAACCTGCTCCAGTGAGACTTTAATGGCCACCACTCTAGTGAAACTGATCTTTCTAACATCCCACTGACTGCTATATTGCCAAACCCAGGGGTCAATGCTCATTCTTCATCTTAATGGCTAGCATGGCCACCATCTCCAGATCTGGACCGAGGTGAGCATACCCTCCTTCCTGAAATAATTCCTTCCCTGCCTTTGGGGACCTGCCTCCTGGTTGTCTGCTATCAGCCGCTCTGTCAACATCTGCTGGTTCCATCTTGGAAAGCCACTATTTTAAAGAATTCATGCCCTAAGACTTAGTTCTCAGACTACTTCTCTATCAGCCTTACTGGCTTATTGATCTCCAATAAAGTTCTTCAACGAATGAATGAATGACTTCAATATAAGAGTAAGGCAGTGAAGTCGTCAAGATGACACTTGAATTTTTAGCTTGAGAAATTGCATGGCTGGTTAAGATAAGGCAGCCAGAAAGAGACCTAGGTTTCAGGGATGGAGAGATGTTTTAGATCCATTCATTTTGAGATGTCCGTTAGGCATCAGGTAGATGTACCGTGAGTCAGCCACTGGATATATAACAAGTCTGAGATGCTGGAGACCCTCAGGGATAGGGTCAGACTGTGGAGGCCATGACTTTGTAGGCAGTGTTTAGGCTGTGGAGTAGATGACATCTAGTCGGAGGGTAGAGGGAAGGGAATGAGGTCCAGGTTTAGGCTGTGGAGTAGATGACATCTAGTCGGAGGGTAGAGGGAAGGGAATGAGGTCCAGGACCAAGCCCTGGGTTAATCCAACATCTGGCGATCAAGCAGAGGAGGTGACAGTGAGTCTGGAGCAAGGCCAGGAGACCAAGGTATCACTGAGGCCAACAGAAGTGTTCTAGGAGGGTGGGACCAGGTGGTGCCGAATGCTCTGGAGAGGTCAGGTACCAAGAGGGGGGTGAGCGCAGGTCTGTCAGGCACAGTCTCAGTGGAGTGAGAGGACAGAAAGATTGAGGCTTGACGAGAGACGGGAAGCTCCTGAAGTGAGGAAGTCGGCCACCATCCACTTTGGAGTTCTGCCAGGAAGAGGAGCGAACCGGAAGGTCACATCCTACAAGGTCACTTCTGCTCACCCTGGGAGCCCAGCGCTTTCCAGCTCACCCTCTCGAGGAGCTGCACTTCGGCCAACTTCGGCCTGGCCGTGACCCAACCCCGCCGAGCACCACGTCCTCACTTGCTCCGCTCAGTCTCCGGGGCCACCACCGCCCCCTTTACCTGCCTTCTTGCCTCCTTCATTCAGGCACAGCCTAGCGCCCATCAAACCATTTCTCGGCTTTCTTGACCCTGCGTCCGCGGGCTGAGTGCGGCCGAAGAGAAGGCTCCCGACTTTCCGACCCGAGTCTCACGCAGCAGGTCTTCGGGAATGTCCCGCAGGCAGGCCGCGTTGCCCGGGCGCTGGCCCCCCTCCTCGGCAGGGCGGCTCCTCGCCGCGGGCCTGCTCAGCCCCGCAGCGCTTCCCACGCCCGCCCGCCCGCCCGCCCGGAGCGCGGAGGTGAGCCGCCCCCCGCGTGTCCCCAGCCTGTCCCACCGCGAGGGCAGCTCTCTGCGGCACCGGGCGATCCTCCCCTTCCACGAGCTCATCACGCCGCGGGGGCCGCCTCTAGGCCCGGGTCCCCTCCAGGTGCTGGACTCTTCCCTGCTTGCGTCTCATCCTCCACGGCGAGTCCGCTGCGTCGTCTCGGCGTCCTCGGCTCCTCCGCTTGCTTAGACTCCGCTCGGACTTCCCCGTGTGCTCTCTGCTGAGGCCTCCTCCATGACCTCCACCCTACACACCTCAGTCCCTGGTGCTTGACTTCCCCGAGCGTCCCCCGAGCACCCGCCCGGTTCCTCATACTCCCTACTTTCAGACATTTGTCTTCACTTGTCTTCTGGAATATCACACTCCTCTGCTTTCCCCCCCACCTCATTAGTCACTCTGGGATCTTTTGCTTCCTCCTCCTCCTCCTCCTCTACACTAGGTACAGTGGTGCCCAGGACTCAGTCCTTAGAACTGTGCCTATATTGTCTACATTCACTTCTTAGATCTGTCCCTAAGGCATCATAAGCCAAAGTGAGGATTCCCAAATGTGCACCTCTAGGTTTTGACCTTTTACCTGACTTTCCACCGTCCAGATCTGCTTATTTCACATCATTGGTAAGCATCTGCCGCTTAAAAGGACCTACACAGAACCCTGGGTTCCCCGTCCTGTTCCTCCGCAGGCCTGCTGCTTGGGGGTTGTGGGAGGGCTCCTCAGGCCAGACGCCTCGGATTCATCCATGACAAAGCCCACCCCTATCCCAAGTCTCCTTACATCTGTTAACAGAACCTACCATGAATCTGACATTTTCAACCAGGACCATGCTCAGTCCCCACCATCTTTTACCTGAACTAGATTAACCTCTAAATTGGTCTTCCAGGGCAGCCCCGGTGGCGCAGCGGTTTAGCGCCGCCTGCAGCCCAGGGCGTGATCCTGGAGACCCGGGATCGAGTCCCACGTCGGGCTCCCTGCATGGAGCCTGCTTCTCCCGCTGCCTGTGTCTCTGCCTCTCTCTCTCTAGCTGTGTCTCTATGAATAACTAAATAAAATCTTTAAAAAAGAATCATAAAAAAAAAAATAAATTGGTCTTCCAGCCCCTGCCCTCTAGGGTCTATCCTCGATACAGCAGTTGATCTTTTAAAAAATCTCACTCTTCAGCCCCAAGTCCTGCGGTTCAAATTACACTTCGAATAAAACGCCTCCTTCTATGGCCGCCAGCTACGGCTCTAATCTCACTGGTCACTTATGTACTAGCCATGCTCGCTCTGTAAACACGGGGCTTCGGTTCTTCACGGGCTTCCTCCTTGTCAGTTTCCGACCAAACGTTCCCTGAGTGATGCCCGCGGTATGATACAGTCATCTCCCACCCGACTATTTTCATTATTTTTTCCTCGTTTACTTTTCTCACTTTTACCACTTGAAATCATGTGCTTACGCACTTGTGTCCTTTATTAAGAGGTGAGCTCCTGGAAAGCAGGAGTCCACATCCACTCTCTCGGGACCTACCGTAGTACCAGGCACATTGTGGCCACTTGCGTAACTGCTTGAAAATTACAGGAAAATTTTTTTGAAGGAGGAGGTTCAGAGATGACCTTACTTTGTTTTTAAATAAAAATAAAATACTGGGGCATACTTTTATGCTGATGGGAATAATGCTGTAGAGAAAAGAATTTGATGCGGTAGAAAGTTGATAATGGCGAAGGCAGACAATGTACGCATAAATATCGGCATATTGCTAGTTTGAGAAGAGGAAAAAATAAAATGGGCTCTGGGATATTATCTCCATTAGTTCTATGTCATCCTGTCCTTGGACTCTGCAGATAGGAATGCCTTGATGGTATTCTGCGAAGTCACCCTCCTCACCTTACGCTTTGCATGAGATTGACCAAAGTTCGGTGGTATAGTGAATTTCATGACACATCAAGGCTTTGCAATAGAAATGTCTTTTTGGCTCAGCTAAAATATTAAGGCCTCAAAGCAATAAAAAAAAAAAAGAGCCTGTACCTTTTTTCCCCCCCCTAAGTACTATAAACTAAGAATGACATTTTCATTAGTGCCTCTTTCTCTTTCAGGAACTATGTGAAAAACAACATTTGTTTTATGAGTCATCATCAAGAGGAATTAGTGCCAAAACAGCTTCAGAAAAGAAAACCCCAAGAGCAGCTCTTGGAGTGTCAAAATCTATGTGGTAGGGGGCAACCGAGGCAGCTTTCTCCAGAGACCTAGTGGCCTCAAATGTTGACAAAGTACAAGAACAATTAGAAGGGTGCCTTTGTACCAATACACATTGCCTACTCCCATGTTTCTTAGTGTCACGAAGCTAGTTTTAAAGAGACACCCTGAAACAGACAAACTTTAACCTCCACCTCTCAAAAGGTAAACGAGGTAGAAGATCCCAAGTGGTCTCTTTCTTACTCTGCGTAGGATACCAGGTGAAAAAAATACTGGCTAGTTCAACACTTTCCACCTTTTTCACAGAGCAGCCTTTGAAAAACTATGAACTAGTAACGCGATCAACTTTCGCCTTAAGGTTTGTATGTACAGAGGCCAGTTGCGGCTTTATTATTCAGACACATACATGGCTTGAACACAAGCTTAGTTTTTTGCCCACTAAGACAGTACTTGTATTGGGCCTCTGTAAAAAAGAAATAGGACACAACATGGATAATTGCACCTGTGTTCTAGATTAGGATAGGATTCTGGCTAGGAATTCAGTGATAATTCCTAATTATAGTTCAACAAGTACAAAGATTATGCAGCTTATTTTATGAATTATGAACTACAGTGTAACGCAAAATACTGTTTTATGAATTATATATATAAAATGTTAAAAAAGAAACAATTCCACAATAGTTGAGAAAAATAAGCATTTTCCCATCCATTTAAAAAAATATGAACAGAAATGACAATTTCCAAATCCTGGGACCATTTTTATTTAGTAGTGCCTGTTAGTAAAACATTAGAAAAGGACTCAGGCCATTAGGTTATTGATCCAAATCTCTATAATCAATTAGGTTTGAGTTACTAGGTCAAACTTCTAAAACTCTTTATAAGGCTTTCTTGATGGCTTAATGGCGATCCATTGGTTTCCTGCAACTGTTTGCACTCCTCAGGAATATCACTACCTCAGGTTACAGCATACTGGCTGTAACTGATGCTGACTTCCAGATGACTGCAGATGTAGTGAGTGACACTCAGACATCAGGACAGTTTCCTCACTATTGTTCTTTTCTATGATGAAACGGAGGTCACCAAGGGTACCAGAAACTTGGGTTTTTCCCCACACAACAATGAATTGCTCTCTTCTGCATTTCTCCAGTTGAATATTAGGACTTGGTGAGGCATTTTACCACTTTGGATATGACAGAAAATCTACAATGAAGAATCTCAATCTACTTAAGTAGTGACCCCTTAAATTACTATTATAAGCTATGGGAGGCACACAAAAACTTACATGAACAACCTAACTTGAAAAAGAATAAAACATTATGATTGGCCTGAAGAAGAATCCTCAGAGCCAAAACTCTGTTTAGATTGGAACCTTCCTATTGGCCCCTAACGAACTGTTCCAGTTTGATAAAAGGGTGTATGATCTAGTAATTCCCCTACAAACAAAGTGGAAAGCCTATAAATCTATGTAAGGAACAGGGACAGTGTAACCGCAGAGACTCAGGAGAATGACGGAAAGTGCTGATTCTGAAATGTATTATATAATGAAAACTGGCAGGGAAAGATACCAGGTAGGGAGATGTGAGATCGTATTTGTACCACAGCACATTTCCTAAGTGAGGACAAGTTTTTCGTTTTTTATTTTGGAAGGAGAAGGAAAAGTCTGTTCTGTAGAGGATCAATTTAAGAAATTTATGATGAATCCTCAGTGGAATTATATGCCGAGGTTATTCTTTAAAAATCAAGATAGGTAATTGATATGATTTTTTTTTTGTCCAGCATCACAGATTGTGAGATATTTAACAAAACTGTTACAGGTTTCCTTCGAAGTTCAAACACCGTATATACACATTACCAATTTCTTGTTTTAGCCATTCATCCTAAATGGGTAGGAAACTGTTCATAACCTTTAGGAGGTTTATCACTAGTGATTTCAACTTCAGTATCTTAAACACTCTAATATTTTTCTTTTATTATCCTGAGTCTGTAACTAAATTAATTCTGTCTTCAAATTTTTACCCAGTACGCCTCTAATCAGAGCTCTTTTGATTTTCAAAAATAAAAAAAAGGGGGAATACTTAACAATTTGTGTGTATATATTCACAGTTTTTATTTATAAAAAAATTTACAGCACTTGTGAAGAGCCAGCAGAAGACATCAGACATGCTCATTCTTACCAGCTTTGTTAAGTTTAGAGGGTTATCCATGACGCTTTGCCAGGTGATGCTCACATGGCAGCCCTGAAACCTGAACTGGTTAGATTGTCTTTCTTCTTCTCTTCTGAGAAAGCATTTTGATGAGCTACTGATCTACCTACTTTTCAAGTCACTTGAATACTGAAAATATTACAACATCTGGATCTGCACGTTGGCCATATAATGATGTTTTCTGACCCTTTCCTGTATTTTTTTTTTTTTTTTGTAAATGTTACAAAACAGGTCACTTAATACTGTTAGTTAAAGCTAAGTGGAAAACCTCAATTTTTAAAAATAGTCTGCTCAGAACCTGTGACTTCTTTACTGAACTGTCTCCTCTATATTTTATGAGGTTTATCCTATCCTACTGGATCTTAAGATGAAACAAATAAACATAATGTAGAAAAAAAGAGTGAGTGAGAGAGAAAGAGAAGTTTGAAAACCACAATTAAATCTTTCACAAGGAAGAAAATATAAAAGTTAGCCTTTGCCCCCCTGACTTAAGTGGGAGAGGCACAGTAGGGAAAGGCATTGAGAGAAAAGATAAAAATAAGTATAAAATAATGTATGTTGGTCAGTGCAGTATGTAGCTAGGTTTGGAAGACTTTATAATATGGTAAGGAAAATGAAATAGAATATGGAGGACAAGATGTCGCAATTTTTCATGAAACTTTCAAAACATTTTGGAAATCCAAGTTTTAGTGGAAGATGGTGTTGGAATCTTGTCTCTATGAAGTTACTACTAAGAAGCTAATCGGACTCTCCACTTAGCTCTATTTCTAAGTGAAATTATTGTTGCTTATGCAAAACTCCTAATCCCAAGTGGTAGCACGAGTGCAGCCTGATAGGGTATGACTGCCCCCAGGCTTGGGGGTGAGCCAGAGGGCCAAAGTTTCACAAATGCATATTTATTGTAACTTTCAGAGGAGCAGTCCCAGATACTGAATAGTCACTCTTCAGCTCCATTAAATAAGACATAGCAAGGGGAAAGACACATCTTGCAAAATGGCTTTCAAGTTCAAGTTGAACTATATTATAATTATACCGTTGGCACAGAGGCAGCTTGTGGGCACTTCTTGTTAAAATAGCACAATGTATCAACTTCTGACAAAACTCTTAGGATAGCCTTCAGCACCAACCTAAGATGACTACTGTCCTACAACTAAAGTTGAGTCTTACCAGAATAACAAAAGCACATATGAGGTACAACCCATCACAGCTTCTTTCTCATATCCATCTTGTAGTAGGTACAAGGTCTTGCCTTTTAAAACTACACTTCTGTAACTTTTAAAAGATAGTTAACATTTTCTATCATATTAAATTAGCAACAGAAAACATTATGCTTAACCTATAAAGTTCTACTCTGGTTTGCTCCCTAGAATTTATATACATTTTTATTTCTAATCTGCAAGAAAAAAATTCCTATTCGGTATTTGGTAACAGAGCAGTAAAAGATACTATACACATGTGGCATATATTTACAAAATACACTTCAAAAAGAAGCCAACACACTTTAGCAAAAGTCTAAGCTTGCATAGATTAAAAAGAAAAAAAAGAATTATGAATACAATTTTTGTTAAAATAGAAAATGGGGAATAAAAGTTGCAGAATGGATATGAAGAGAGATCTTTTGCAAACTTTTATTTGTGCACATTCAATTGAAAAAGATAACTTTTACAGGTTCTTTGGTGCCCATATTCAGCATACAAAAATGTAAAAGACTATTCACAAATAAAACACATTAGCTCAAACTGGGAAAAAATAATGACACTAACGAAACAGTTTAAGGTAGTGCACACTGTGACAGCTCTGCTTACGGGGACATGAGAATTACTGCGAAAATAAATAGAATGTCCTTTTGTAAAAGCAGCAATGTCATGTCTTGTAAACTTCCTTTTTATATTACAGCAAGGTCTGAAATAAAACCCAAAGGGCCTGGAGCTCACACTGCAGCCATGAATGAATATAAGAGTCTATATCCTCAATTACTGTTGGTCCAGTTTTCCTTTTGTTTTGAGTCCAATGTGCAGCAGGTTTTAAAAGGTGCTCAGTTAGGTTCTAACCAGTTGAGTGATGGATTATAAAATTTCTTTCCTGCTTTCAAACACAAATGGGTAGATCTGTTCCACAGCGGTAGCAACAGCCTTTACGTTGGGCCCTGTAACAAACACGATGGAGGAAGGGGTGAGGAGAGCACCAGGAATGTGGGCTTCCCGGAACTGAACACATAGTTCAAACCATTGGATTAATTGCTTTATTTTTTTTTTTTTTTACGATTTTATTTATTGAGGATCCCCAGGTGGCTCAGCGGTTTACCGCCTGCCTTCAGCCCAGAGTGTGATCCTGGAGTCCCGGGATCAAGTCCCACATCAGGCTCCCTGCATGGAGCCTGCTTCTCCCTCTGCCTGTGTCTCTGCCTCTCTCTCTCTCTCTCTCTCTCTCTCTCTCTCTCATGAATGAATCAATGAATGAATGAATGAATGAATGAATAAATAAATAAATAAATAAATAAATAAATAAATAAATAAAAGAAAAAAAGATTTTATTTATTCATTCATTAGAGAGGCAGAGACATAGGCGGAAGAGAAGCAGGCTCCACACAGGGAGCCTGATATGGGACTCAATCCCAGATCCCGGGATCATGCCCTGAACTGAAGGCAGATGCTCAACCGCTGAGCTACCCAGGCGTCCTGGATTAACTGCTTTAAAAAAGGTCTACGCTTCACATAATTATAAGGTCATAATATAAGCCAAGAGAAAAATTTTTTTCTGAGCCATTAAAGGAAATCGGAAACACAAAATTATGTTATTCACCCCGTTTCAGGGCATGAGTGTGAAGATCGTGCCTATAAAAATCACGTCTAATACCACTGTTGGATGCCAATTAGAGGAAGAGATGATGAACGGCACTAGACATTCCGGTCACTATCCTTTTGGGCACTGTCGTCTGGCTTTTGGTCAGGCTACTGCCTATGCTCACAGGAGTACTGGGGAACTCAGTAAAGTTAAACAAAGCTGCTTTCAAAGTACTAGAAAGCCAGAGAGCTGTTATTAACTACATGGTCTAAAACTCCCTTGGATCTACTAGTACTTGCTACCTACCACATGTTTATTATTAATCTGCCCATTTATCTTCATAGCTTACTCAGTAAATAGGGAAACACACAGGTGGGAAGGAGGTGACAGTATATATAAATTAATCCATATAATGCTAGGAATAACTGTTTAAAAATGTAATCTATTTAAAAAGAAACATAAAAAGACAATGAAAATATTTTCATAAAACTTACATTGAGTAAAAAAATGGTTTCACTCAAGTACACATTAATTCTTTTCACAGATCCTGAAAACACATATATTGTACCTGCTGTGAACTCTTTGAAGGTACTGACCCCATGTTATCTGGGTCTGCTCCTTCCTGATTTCCCTTCTCCTCCCTCCCATAGGATAGTGCTCTGCCTATGGGAACCACTCATTATCTGTTCACTGAATTGTTAATGTTTCACAGGATGTTCCAGATGTAAATATATAATGTATACTAATTAATCCAGCAGATTGCCTTCAGTTTATTATGTTGTTTAATTATCTATTCACTCAGTAAATACAGATTTTACCTATGCATCGTAAACTCTATACTTAGTAGGGACTTACTGATCAACAGACTTTGGGATTTCTCAGAAGTCTGGGCTCCAAAATGTAGAAAGAGATGGCTGAAAGAAGGGAACAGATGGGTTTGTTCTCCATCCCTCCATTTTAATATTGAGGCATGACGCTGGCAGGAGGCTTTAAAAGTCTCCAAGGAAGATGTGAAAACCCATAGGATGAGTCGAAACTAAGCTTATTTGTTGAGAGTCTTAAGGTGTCAATAATGTGTATTTTCCTCTAAGGACTGAAGGAATAAAAAGAAAAATCCAGGAATACCACGAAATTTTCCTGAACTCAACTTAGCCAAGAATTGGGCCGGACTCCCAAGGGATGTTTCTGTACAATTTATAAACACAATATCTTTAAAACCATCCTGTGTGCTAATGCTATCTATGCCTAGTTTTATGAAACCATCCCTTCCAAATACTTAGGACTCAAAAGATACAGAAAAGATACATGTAAGACATGACAAATAGGTACCAATGATACTTGAATATTTTACTTATGTAAAACCTCTTTACGATGTTTGTAAAATGGGTTTCTCTTGAATATTTTAAATGCAAGACATCATAAATTTTTTAAAAAATCATGCTATGAAAATATATATTAGAATATTCTTAATAGCTCCAAACGGGAAACTATCCAAATGCTTACAGACAATATATTCATATACTGTGTATTATACAGCAATAAGAATGATCTATAACTACTGTATTATGGGATAATATGATTGAATCTCACTATAATAATAATCAATGAAAGAAGAGAGATCCCAAGGAGCATATATAAGGTTTTGAGGTAGTAGATAAAAGGAGGGGAAGCTAAACTACAGTGTTAAAAGTCAGGGGACTGGTTTGAGGAGTAGAAGTGACTAAAGTGGACAAATGAGACATTATTTCTATTTTGATACAGGCACCTCATTCAAACCATAACTGATGATAAGCTTGGTTTCAATACCATAAAATACCTGTTACTGTGATACTCCCTGTTGAAAAAATCTGTAATGTAGCTCTTAGAGATTTTATCCGATAGCACACAGCAGGATGAAGTTCAGGTTCATAACTACAAAAAAAAAAAAAAAAAAAGAAAAAAATCACAATTAATATTAATATTTACAGGCTGACAGGTAATTATAAATTTGGTAAGTTGTCTTGATTATTCAGAGACC